GATAATGAATGACACTCAGAGAAACCTTGCTAGCAGACACCCTGACTGGAAACTGAAGGACAAGGTCTCTTCAGTTCTCTATTGGGTTAGACAAATGGTATTGCTTTGTTTAATGTATCAAGTTCATGCTTGAATTCAGTTAGGTTTCTTGCTCCTTTTTCAGGGTTAAGAACTAAAACTCTTAACTTTTGCTGCTGTAAGAATTATCCAAAGACAGATAATTTTGTCCATGTAATTCCATATTTAAAACAAACCTTTGCTGCCCTTCTAGCTATTAGTAACTCCAAAGTAGGTAATAGTTTTCAACCTTACTCTGTTCATATAAATGCGTTTTTCTAGTACAATGGCAGATACTTCAAAGTTCATTTAAGTTCAACTGATCTTCTACATAATATAAACCTATAAAAAAGTAATATCAGAGCAATCTGGCACAGGGTTTCCTTTTTGTAAAACGACAAACAACAAAAAATCACAAACAAGCAAAACAAAAACAAACAGACCCCCCCCCAAAAAAAAACAAAAGGAAACACCACCCCAACCCACCCCCCAAAAAAAAAACAAAACCAGACAAGCCCCCAAAACTCCAAGTTTCATTTTTACCACACTTTTATCTTCATGCTTTTAATTAATCTTTTTAAATTTAACTTGATATGGAATGAAGTCCTACTAGTGGATCTGAAGTAAGTCAGGTAACTAATTTGATTGCTTAAAATAGCATTATTATATGTATTGTTGAATTAATGTATAGTGTCATCTTCAAATTAGTTATTTCTGAAGTTGTTTTGTTTTGGGTTTTTTTGAACCAGTGAATTATCCTTTCTGGGAAAAGGATGATACTCTTTACCACAGAAATGGTTCTATAAACATGGACAGAGCCCTAGCCATCTTCATTTGTGCTTTTGATGGCACAAAGAGATGAAAAGAATGCCTCCCCTACTGAGATGGGCTTGACAGTACTTTTGAAACTTTTAGACGTGGTTAGTTAAGACTTTCTGTAGTAAGCTTTGGAATATTCATGTGATAGCACAAATTACATGGATTCAACATTTTATAAATGTATTCAAGACTAATAAAACAAACCTTACAGTGTAACTTATTTTGTTATATCATATCCTCATGTAAAATGGCATAAGCTGTGGCACAATATTTGAGTACTAATGCACACACATTAGAGCGGCATTTTATGTCTTGTCCTGTTTATATGAATTCTAGTTGAAGAATGAATAAACTTTTCCTTTTCTTTGCTCCAGTTAGTACTGTGTGTATCTGATGGGGGACTGGAACTCTTTCCTGGAAAAGAAAGAGTACGGGGAGAAAAAGAGATTAAATGAACTCTGCTTCTAATAGCAAATATCCTTAGTTGGCATTGGGTAGTAGAGGCAAAAAAATAAACATAGAAAAAGTTAATATCACAGTTTGGTTTTCTCAGTGGAAAGCTACAAGGTAATAGTCACAGAGCATAGCATTTAAATTAAGCATGTGATTATCTTAATTAATGCCCAATGGTATATGTATAATAATACTTTTTCTTCCTGTAGACATATATGTATACATATGTAAAATGTGTGGAAATTATAGTGATGTAGGTAAGTTCAAGGCATCTATAGACAGAAAGGACTGAACCTGGCTTTCAAAGACCACTCAATCCCTTCATCTGCTGGTTTGCCTTGGAGTTCTAGGCTCAGCACAGTATTTATGGAACAGATACCACTCATTTAATGCAGTGCTGTTCTTGTTTGAGGGTATTATTTCGGAAAGTGTCAGTTTAGGGCTCAGGGAACTAGAGAAGTTTGGCAAGAAGCATCAGAAGGCTTGGCTACGCTTCCTATGTGAATCTCTGAGACAAAACTTTTCTTCAACTGTGTTCTCTTCTTACCTCTTGATAACTTGTACTGGATAATATCCCCCTCCCAGACTTTTCATTCTCTTGTGGTTAGACTAAATTGAGGGGTTTGGAGCAGAGGTACACCAGAATGTTTTATTTATTTATTTATTTATTTATTTATTTATTTTAAGAGCTGGGTGGTTCTTGACCTCTGTGCAGAGAGATTTCACATAGTGACTTTTCTTTTGGCTAAGTGGATACATTGTGCTTAAATTTCTGCAAAGCAGAAGTTTTTCTGTTTAATCAAGCCTGCAAATCTAATGTGAATTGAATAATATTTAATTTGTAAAAGTTAAAGCTGAGAATTGTGTGGAAATATTAGGCTTTGACCTGGAAAAAAAAACAGAGGAAAAAGAAAAGTTTTAAGTTAACTTCAGGTTTTCCGAGTTATTTACAAGACTCTTATTCAGACAGAATAAGCCAAAACAGCAAGGTCTCTGGCCCAGTTACCTCTATGTATTTTGACAAGAAACAATATTAACAAACTAGTTTTCCTGTGACTCAATTCCTATTATTAGCTAGCTTTGCCCACCTATTTTATATTTTGTGTTAATGTAGACATGCAAAGCTTCATTTGATAGATGTTCCCCCAATTAAAATTCTAAAATTCATCTTCAGAATTTAATGTCTATAAAATATACTTTTCTTTCAATTTGTAAGGTTTCCTTTTAGGATAAGTAGGCAGGAGCATGGAGGAAGCTAGTAAGCATTTAGAAAGTTGAAAAATTAGTCATCATCTCACTCTTGGCTATGTCACTTGCAGTAATAATGCCATTGCTATTGCTTTGGGGTTTTGGCAGAGGGATTTACAGCATTATAGATGTACCTAGATATTCTACCACAGGTGCCAATAGCAGCTCAAGAGTTCAGGGTGTGTGAATGAATGTAGAGTTGTTTTATACAGTCCATGTTATAGATAAAGCTACTGGTGTCTGAGCTAAATAGACTGATGTTAGGTTACCCTCAACATGCTATGTTTCTGCTTTGATTTGTACTATAAACGTAACTCTTAGAAAAAAGAAAAAGTGAAACTTCAGTAGCTGTGCTGTTGAAGGCAAGATTTAACAGGCTACATTTTTTCTTCTTTTTTTTTTTTTTGAGTTGTCCATCCTACTCACTTTTTAGATGTTGCAGGAAAGTGGCTAGTGTTTCTTAAAGTTTGGATAAAGAAACTGTAGGTTAATTGGAAAGAGAAGATGAATTATTGCAATAGATTGCAGCCAATCTGCTTCACAAATAAAAAAATTCTTAGAGGAGGAGCTGAGAATGAATGGAATTGCTTTTGCCTGACGTTAACTTTGGCTTTATAAAACTTAAATTAAAAAAAAAGGGGGGGGGGGGGGAATATCTCCAAACAAACCAACACAAACACCAAAGCTGTCAGGAAGGCATTCTCATAACTGAACTTAGCATCACAGCCATATCTAGCTTCATTGGAATTTTTTGTCAAAAACATTGGGACTAGAAGGCTGGGGGTTTTCTTGCTTGTTTTAATTTTTCGAGTCACTATTGTCACTGCAGAGAATCTACGTACTTTAAGTGGATGAAACCTGATTGTTCAGAAGAAGGGTCCATGAACCCAGGAGATTGCCTCTGACACTGGCAATAAATACATGCCTTGTAAAAATAGAGAATCTTTATGATACTTTTCCTGAGTGCTGTCTTAATCTCCAATTTCAGTTCAGGGTATTTTTGGGACAGAGTTTTAACTGTCATTCCTGGAATTGAGGGGTTTTTAACAGAATGGGTCTTTTGTGCCTCTTGTTATGATTTTATTTCTTCTTTACTCTTACATTGTTGTTACATGTTGTTACCCTAACTATTCTATGATTAGCTGGTATTCAAAGGTGAAAAAACCCCTGTACATAAAAAAGTAAAAGGGGAGGGTATAAGTTATAAAAATTATAAATTATAACCAATTTATAATTTTTTCTAATTGTGAGCAGTGTTGTTCAGGGGAGCACTTTCAACTCCTCCTGAGTGGAAAGATGCATTTATAAATGGCCAGTGAAATGCATTCTTGGAGTTGTAACTGCTTCTTCTCACTTACCAGGTCTGGGTAGATCAAGGTGCACTTTCACAAGAACTTCGTTTTCGGTGGCTAATTTTATTTTTTCTTTTTTGACACAAAATCCTTGGTTTTTCCTGTGAATCTGCAAGAATGAATTTTCTTTTTTTTCCTTTTTTTTTTACATATTCAGAATAATGTAGTCTGCCTGGCAGCCTGCTCTATTTTGATTTTTATATAATATGTGTGGCTTGCAATTCTGAGGGAGCAAGACATGATGTAGTTTTCTCAGTACTGCCTGTTGGAGCTTTGTCTGTACTATAAATGTACTGTAAATAATACTGTAAATGCTAATCACTCAAGAGTTCAAATCCAAAAGTGATCCCAAATGGAGTCTATAATACATGCAGTGTGGATGGTTCAAAGTGCAGGACCATGAAATGAACAGTCTAAATGTAGTTTAGGTGCCCTCACAGATTCCTTCTTATCCTTCTGTAAGTGTTGAAATAAAGCCACTATATCAATCAGATTCAATCACATTTTTTATGTCAAACTGCATGGACACTTCATAATTAAATTACTAAGTTTTTTCTGTAGCTATTTTTTTTGTAGTTGATGAAAACAGTGTGTGATTTATGGCAAACAGTGATGTTCATCATGTATAATTACTATCTATTTAAATAAACTTGAAAGCAGATTGATATTTTGAAGTACTTTCATGTAGCACAAAAGACTCAAAAATGTGATAGGCTGTTAAATTGGGAGTCATGTTCTAGTGAAACATTTTTTTTTTTCCCCACTTAAGAGCTTATGAGCAAAACAGTAACTGGAGGTTTAAAGTACTTGTATTTGAACTTTTATGGAGAAGTTAGTTTTGTGTTGCGGCTCAGAGTATTACTAGATGCTGAATTCATTACCTTTCCTTGTAATATTTTTAAGCAAACTATTATGTTGGACAGTATTTCTACACTGCTGTTTGATTTAAAAGATCAAAGCTGTTCTCTGAAGCATTTTGATTAACTGTGAAGACTGGCTATGTTCAACACTAATAGGTATACTAAAGTGCTGCCAAGATTAATGTGGAGATGACCCTGTGCCTATTTTCAGAATCGCAGGGGGGAGAATTCTGTCAACAGTGAAGATGCATTTGATAAAAGGCCGAAGCAGTGGGGATCCTTTCTGTCAAGCAGTAGAGGAAGTTGTACAAGATTTGGATTTGAAGATTAAAAATATTATAGATTCACAACATGAAGCCTTGACTGCCAGCACTACTGGACTTAGTCCAGCACGGGTAATGGGACTTCTTTTGTTCTTTTTACTATCTAGCTTTAGAAGAAAGCAAATGTCTTTTGCCTGCTTATTTTTATATTTTAAAAGACTTTCTATAGAGTATTAACTTTTGCTAACAGTACAGAGCAGTGTCATTTCCTCTACATTGTGGTTTTAAACTTGTTGAAAGACTTATACTTGAGGATTACAGTGTGGATTTCAAAAAGCTGATTAACTTAAACTAAACTTCTTACCTCAAAATTGTAAATAAAATATTCTTCAAAACTCAATTTGTTGTACAGATGTTATAGATGTAGATACTTATAACCATGATGTTTGCCACTAATTGCAAGCCAACAGAGTTATAGATTTCCAAATAAAAATCCTCATGAAAGGGGAATTTAGATTTCAGAACGTGTATCAGTAATTTTGATTAGAATACACAGGTTTTAATTAGCTCAGCATCAATATTTCCAAGGCTAAGGCATTCAAAACATGGTTAAATAAGAATTCCAAAACATGGGAAAATGTGGAGATGGAGGGGAGTGAAAGTAGACCCCCAACCAACCAATGTCTTTTTCCTCTATTAGTGTTTGAAGACAGCAATGAAACTATTAATGACTTTAGTCTCATAGAAAGAATTAGGATACTCACAGTTCTTTGTCAAGTGTGGAGAACAGAATACAGACTTTCTATTTGTGGTTTTTTTTTTTGTACTTGAATCTACTCAGGTTTATGTTATGATCTCTTTTGTGATGAAAACATCAACTAGCTTTAATTATTTTATTTTACATTTTTGGTATATAAACTATCCAATTCCATGTATTTTTAGCTAGGAAACTTTTTTAAAACTACAAACACGTTGAATGTACATTATTAGAATGCTTTGTTTTGAGAAATCACTGGAATTACCTCATGGTAACATGAAATTTAAACAAATTTTAATCAGGTTTCCAGTGTGCTTTTTCTTCTGAGTCTTTCATCACTGTATTTCCCTTTTTCCTTATCATATCCTTCTATTTCTTTCTCTTTCCCATCTGAAATATTGATCTCCATCATTAGTTGTGTGTATTTAGCTACTTGTATTACCAATAAAATTTAAGAAAGTTTAGATAGATATAAGTAATGTAAAACTATTTTACTAAAACTTTGCTCTTCAGAGAAATTAATCACAAAATTACTTTTCCAAACTGTTTCATGTTTTTTGTTTTCCGTAGTTCATGTTCGTAGTCTAATGACTGTAGAAACGTTTACCACTATCCTTGTTGAGGCAGAATACAGAAAAGCTGGTTGTATCCTGATGTTGTTAGGAAATGTGGTTAAATACTTAATTCCATTGAAAGCAATGTAAAGTTAATGTTTTTTTCAAAATGGGCACCTGAAGGCAGCTTATGAACTTAATTGTATTACTGAAAGCCTGTGGTTCTATGTTGAAGTTTTTGCCAATTCTTGAGTTTAAGTTGATTGCTGGAACATCCCATCAACTTGTGGAAGAGCAAATTCTACTGGAACATTTCTCAGTGAGGAAATTTGAGTACACAGCAGAGGATGACAGGCTTTAAGCTAATCCTTTTCACCATACCCAGTACAACACATCCATACTTGCCAAAGTATGGATGTAACTGAGAGCCATCAGAGGTAACTGTGGTCTGGATCTGACTGATGTGCTGCTTAGTTTGACAAATCTAGTGCTGTATTGGGTTTACATGGCAAGATTTTGGTACTGGGGGGAGAGCTGTAAGGTCTTGTGTGCAGAAATACCAGAAGCTGGCCCCATGTCAGAGAGAGCAAGCCAGCTCCAGGATGGGACCTGCTGCTCGCCAGGCCAAAACTGAGCCAGTCAGTGCTGGTTGTAGTGCCTCTGTGATAACATATAAGAAAGGGCAAAAAATGCTGCACAACAGCAGCTGGGAGAGAGGAATGAGAATACATAAGAGAAAAAACTGTAGTCACCAACCTCAGTGAAGGAGTGGGAAGAGGTGCTTCAGGCACTGGAGTAGAGATTCCTCTGCAGCCCATGCTGAAGACTGCAGATGCAGGTTGCCTCCCTACAGACCATGGAGATCCATGGTGGAGCAGATAGCCACCCTGCAGCCTATGGAGGACCCAGGTTGGAGTAGGTGGATGTACACTGAAGGAAGTTGTGATCCTGTTGAGAACCCATTCTGGAGCAGGTTTGTAGCGGAAACTATAGCCCGTGCAGAGGAGCCCATGCAGCAGATTTTGTGGCAGGACCTGTGACTTCATAGGGGACCTGTGCTTGGAGCAGTCTGTTCCACCCTGTGGAAAGGACTAACTGTGTAATAGTTCTTGAAGAACTGTAGACAGTGTGAAGGACCCATGCTGCAGAAGTTTGTGAAGGACTGTATCCTATGAGAGGCACCCCATACAGGAGAAGAGGAAGAAGCAGCAGCAGACATGAAGTGTTAGGAACTGACTGCAACCCTTGTTCTCTGTCCCCCATGCCACTTGAGGGAAGGAAGTAGAAGAGCTGGGAGTGAAGTTGAGTCTGGAAAGAAGGGAAGGGTCCTATTCTGATTCATTGGCAATTAATTACATTAATTACATCAATTTCCTTAAGTCTGTTTTGCCCTTGATGGTAATTGGTAAGTGAACTCCCTGTCCTCATCTTGACCCCCTGAGCTTTTCATCATATTTTCTCTCCCTGTCCTCTTCATGAGGTGGGATAGAGCAGCTTGGTGGGCACCTGACAGCTAGCCACGATCAACCCACCACAGTCCTTTGTTGTACCCAATATGGTGCCTCTTGAATTAGAGATAAAGACATTAACTGGGAGAGGTACTGGGTAAAATGTAAACTGAACACTGTTAGAGAGCAGAGTAAATGTGGGGAATTTTTGTTTCTGTAATTGGTGAAAGGACAAGAGGTTGAGTGTGTGTAAATTGTCCACCTTTGTCAGTGTTGTGAAGCTATTTTGATTTTGGTGTGGAGAATAATTTTTTGTTCATGTAAATGAAGCTTGTGAAGGTTGTGTGCTGAATGATATTGTAATGATAATCTTAAATATGTGATTCACAGAGATGAGGGGTGGAAAAGGAAGCTTAGGCAAATGTTAAGAGACGGATATCAAATCGCATATTTTAGTGGAGCTTGGTTGGAAGAACATTTTACTAATCATATAGAGGGGTAGGTTACTAATTAAAAAATAAAGCAAACAGAACAAAGCAAAACAGATTAAAAAAAACAACAAAAAACAACCTGTAAGTTTTCCAAATGAATTTGAGCTGTATAAAAGAAAATTGGAGCATCTGTATTGTTCCATTAAGATCTTATGACAGCAAAGATGGATGCTCTGTGCTGAATTTCACATACAGTTTGGGTTTTTTTTTGTTTTGTTTTGTTTTTTATTTTATAAGGAAACCTCTAAACCCTGAAGCTATAATTTTTCAGGAAAGAAGTTCTGGTTTTGTTAGGATGTTATGTTTTTTTTTTTTTCATACATAAGAGACTGAATTGAGCTCTTTGAGTGCAAATTTAAAATATGATCCTAACTACAGCACTGAATATTATGCCTCCACTATCTCCTGGGAAGGCTGCTCCCTCATAAAATGTACCTGAAAAGAGTCACTTTGTTAGAAAAATATTTGCTTTTCTCCTGGCAGTGGCACTTTTCTTCCATCATTGCTCAGTTTTCCTGCAAATACCTGTTTTATAAGAAGCCAGAACTCCAGGAAAATATATGACTTTATGCAGCAGGAAGCACTACTTTGTGTTGTAGCCCACAAGAGTGACTAATAGGAATTATGATTAATTTCTTCCTGAGAAAATTACTACTGTAAATGGAAACTGGCTGGTGTTTCTGGAACTAACCAGAATAGTCTGAAGTAGCTAATGGTCACTACCCTTGAAAGACTGATCAACTATTTCATTGAAAAAGTAATTTAAATAATGAATACAAGCTTCCTAATAAACAAGACTTTTTATGGCAGGGATTGTTGCCTTGCCTGAAGTTCTTATTGTGCCTGGGACAATAGGATTTTGTTCTATGGCTAGTACACCAAGTCACTGTTGTTATAGTACAAGAGATTTCTGAAGGACATCTTCTGGCAGTTAGGAGGTTATATTATACTCTAAAGATTATTTTTTTCCCTTTTGTGTATCATCAGTCAAGATGATGCCAGATTTGTACTTTTCTCATTAAGACAATTTTACCATGACACATATGACATTTTATAAAAATCTGTGATGTGGTGATGGAATGACTGAAGAGGTTCAGAATAAACTTTGAGGAAATTAAATAGTACTGAAATAGGCCAATTCTGTAAAGCCAAGTAACAACCATTTCTGTAATTGCTATTTCTAGCTATTGATTATAACTTATACTAACTGACTGACATGTGTTGCTATGGTTTCTTGAAATCTACATACACTAATTGATGTAATCAAATAGAGAGAGAAATAGAATTTGATCTTTTAAAGTCTGTATTTAAAAGCAGTTAGCTGATTAGATAAATGCAGTTCATTGCTTATCCTGTCCTTCTGAACCAAGTTAGGCTATCCGATGTTTCCATGTATTAGTAAGAACGCCTGTAGTTTTTAAAATCTACTACTGTGTGTTAAGCCCTAAATTTCTTTATGGAACTCTTAATACTTTTAAGGAAAAATACAGCAAACTTGCAATTCTTGCAGTCCCATAGTGGCTATGGAGTTCTACATCTGTACTGCTGACTGTAGCATTGAGCACTTCCAGATGTGGATTGTTATTTTCTTTAAGGAATTCTTTATTCTTGAGGAAAATCGTGAGGAATCTATCCTGTTCTGAACAACAGGAGATTGTGCCAAGTACCTCTGTTGTCAAATCTTGATGAAAATCTCACTTCTAACCAACTGCTTTAGCAGATTCAGTTAGTCAGAGGAGTTGGACTTCACCGGAATGTGTTTGTGTACCCCATAGCACTCAAATTGGTTGTGAGAAAATAATCATGGTTTCATCACAGATTTGTATATTTATCTGTGTGACTTGCTCATCAGTGTATACCTCCAGCTGGCAGTGATCTAGACTTTACTAATTACTTGGGATGAGCAAGAAACTTTCCCATGGGCAGTTTCCCCATAAATGCTTACTGTGAAAGGGAAGGAGAGTATTCTCACCCCTTGTGCTGATATGGGTTGCTTTTGGAGGTGAGCTATTAGTCTGGCTTGTTGACCTTTCCTGTTGTGTGTTCGTTTTAATTTTTTGCTTTCAGCCAAAATTGCATTCTGTAAATCATGGCACTGCATATTGTGGCAGAGATACTGTAAAGGTCTTACTAGTTCTTCTGGATGAAGAAGCTGTCAATCCTCCCACCCAGAACAAAGCAGAACTATTATATGACAATGAAAACTTAAATTTGTTTGGAATCACCTCTGTTTTGACACTCTTCAGGTGAGTACTAGAAGATTTCTTTTTGTGTTGGCTTTGTTTCTTTATTTTTAAAATCTTCTACTAAGTGGCTAACAAAGCATTGGTATTACTTCTACATAGCAAATGACCAAAATGCAGGCTATTGTGAGGTTAGGTTTCCCTATTTAGGTGTAAAGGGAAAGCATTCTTAGAACAGTCTGAAGTTCTCAAAACTATTCTACTTCCCCATTGCATTTTCTGTATCTTCAGGGTACTTTTGTAATATGGACTTTTTGAGCTAGTAGATTTCTGAGCTGCACAAAACCCACTGCAACAAATTTCCAAGTACTCATCTCTTGATTTTGGACTCTTAAGTTCAAATACTGTCTGTTCAATACCTAATTAGATTACTAGTCAATTTGAAGATGCCTCCTTTGTCTAGCTATGACACCAGGGATTTATTTTTTTTATTATTATATCCTTTGTTTTATCTACATAGTAATTATTTTGTAGAGACAGTGTTAAATAGTTTTTTCTTATCTACCACTCAGGATAGTATTGCACAAAGGATGATGAAACAAAATTACATGCATGAAGATTTATTAATCATGTCTGTAGCTGATGTCATAAATTTGCTTTAATGGTGAAAGATACTTTTGGACAACAATAAAAAGAAGAGGGAGAATAGAGGAAGAAAAAAACCTCTTCCTGATGCCTTGCTGAGTGAGAAGTAAAGCAGCCAGGGTTCAAAGATAAGCATCCTTTGTAGTACAGTGGTTAGTTACCCAAAAGTCCTTTTCTCAAGGTAAATATATTGTCTTCATGAGGACCTGCTGTAGCCCTTTATTGGTTGTCCCTGCTTTTGGTACTTTTAGGAGTGATTGGAGCATCTGTTCATCAGGGCAGGGGCTGTGTGGCCAGTTGCTCATCAAGCTCTGTGCTTGCACAGTTTTGGGGCTCACCAAGATAAAAGATGATTTACACTGGAAAGGGTAGGAACATTGGGGAAGATGAGGGTGTTTCTTACGCTCATGGCAGGTTTTTCCCATGACTGAGCATAACAACACTATTGGGGTGTGGAGATGTAGGGCTGTGAGGATGACAGCAAGGAAAGAGAAAAACAGTGACAGGTCCTAAAACAGAAGATGGAGGATTCTAAAAGTCAAAGAATTCAAAGGTTTCATTAGATTTATCATTCAACATATTTTATGAAACAAAAGGAAGCACATTCTAATAGAACTTAAAATTGGCTTCCCTAGTAAGAATTCCAAATAAACCTGTAGCTTTTAATATAAATGGCTGCTTGTAACAACATGTTGTAGAATATTTCTTTCACTTCTCAAATATCTGTGGATAGCTGTAGTTATACATTTCTGTTTCATTATCTAACAAGCATAAAATAACACTGATTTTAGTCTCTTATTTTTCTATTACTTCAGATTCAGGAAAATTGCTTCATTAATTTAATAAACCTCTCCATGGCTGTATTTTTATCAGAATAAGGAGCTTGATCAGATTTAGGTTAATGCTCTATGTGAATGTAATCGAGGCCCACCTGAATTCTTATGAATTAAACAGTGCTATTATTCAGAGCTAGAAAACTTGATTATTTTTTTTAAGAAATTCTAATTTAAAATGGGTTTAAAACCACTTATTTCTGAATAAGAGTGCCTACTGAGTGCTCTGATTTCATTTACCTAATTTGATTTTTTAGCTGAATTAATTTTCTTGAATTGAATATTCTTGAAAGGATAAACATTTGGTTTTCAGTGTAGGTGTAAGCAGCTACTGCTGCTTGGGACTCTATATTGTAATCTAGACAATTCTTGTGATTTTTCTTAGTTATTCTTAGTGGTTGATTTGATTTAGATTTTATTTTCCTCTGTGTGTGTGTGTGTGTATATATATGTATATTTAATATTAAATGTATGCTTCCATTTAAAAAATTGATTTTGAAGTAATTTAGTCAAAGTATTGAATTTATGATCCTAAATGTTTTGGGAATAAAAAAAGAAACTTGAAAACAACACCTGTTCTCAAATCTGTGTTTTTGCATTTCTCTAACAGCTTTACTGTAAGGTTCTAATTGCTTTATGAATGCTGAACACCTTAATACTACACAAGATATTAGCTAAGGTGTCACTCTGATTTGCAGCAATGTACAGGCATCTCTATGATACAGCACTTTTTTGTTAATGCTTATGTCTCAAATATTTGTCTAGAGTGTTTGCAGACCTTTTGCCAATCTATAGTTAACAGTAAATCTGGAACAGTTTACAGGATAAATGGCACTACTTTTGGCAATAAGCATCACTGCAGTTTTCAGTCTCTTAGTTAATCTGATTCTGTGTATTAGATTGTTGGTCACCTCATATGGTAGTTATTCTTTTATGGGGTTTTATCACATGGTAGTTATTCTTTTGAGGTTTTTTCACAATGCTTTTTGTTATTTCTAGAGATTTCATTCCAGGAGTATCCCAAAATATGTTTACACTTTGTGGGTAGCTTTGTCTGGGTTCTGGTCAGTTGGAGAGACCATTGTCTTCTGGTGAAATCTGAGATTAAATGAGAGCTTCTCTTTCACAAAACTTCAGCATTTCAGGAATTCACCTTGCTTTCTAGATCAGTTGGGTGTGTTTATTTCTCTGCACTGAAATCCTGCAAAAAGCTACTGCTGAGAAGTATCTATTGTGTTGTTCAACTTTTTGTTGGCTTTCTTTAATTAAAAATATTTTCGTTGTAATTTGTGGAATTCATGTGTATTCAGGAACTGAAAACGTGAACCCTGACTATACATCCTTAGTAAACATCCTAACCAAAATGAAGCTTTTCTTATTTAATGTGTCCTTTAGTATATCCATCAAATATTTTCCTTTTGTAAGCAGCTCATTTCAGTTTTCTGGAAAATATTTTTATATAATTAGTGATATTATTTATTTGTAGAGTTAAATTTTGCATGACTATGGAATGAATTGTTTTCATAACCTTTTTCCATAAAGGTTATCTTCCTATCCTATTAAAGCTAAATCCAGTTAATTTCTTTTCTTGCTTTTTAAGTTTCCTTCTTTTTAAGGAATGCCTGTGTTGATCTGGTATGCAGACCAAAGGATCTCTCAAACCCATTTCTGTGGGCACTGAAAAGGAAACTAACCTATCCATGTGCTGGAGAAGCAGTGAAAATTAAATCAGTTGCTTATTCTGAGGAGTCATCAGTTGATAGAAAAATGGGATGCTGAGAATTTAGTCATTACAGGTTACAAAGGCGCATGAACCAGAATACCAGTGTAGACATGGTGAAGCTACATGTTTTTGCAATTTAAATAACAAAAACACTGCAAGGTCCTGTAGAAATTTTGCACCACAGACAAATAGAAATAAACAAAATAGAGTGGGCTAAATTTTTTTTATAATTGAGTAGTATGAACTAAAATGAAATGAGTTATTTTTGAAAAGAAAAAAAATAATGCCCTCATATGCACACTGTCTTGCCATAAGCATAAACAGAGGAAGTAATTATTTACAGATGCACAGATTTGTTCTTATTTCAACCCCAAAACTCCTTTTTACATGCATTGATAATTTTGTTGTGTTATATATATCAAAAAAATTTCATTAATGTATGTAACTATTCACATACTGAAATATAGGAGGATTGAAGCATTTTGTTTGTTTGAGCATTTCTATTGAAAAGTCTGTAAATATGAGGAAAGTTATTCTGGATGTGAACCAGATGCTGTTCAAGGGGATTTAAGTAGGATGGTGACCTGGTAACACAACACCAGCATTGCCAATGATAATGTGGTTGCGGCTCTGTAATATTGTAAACATGCTGCAAAATACCAGAAATTGTAACTGTAAGTTTGATTTCATTTTGCTGTCTTTACTTGTCACAGTACATGTGGTTACCTAAGAAAACAGAAAACAAAGTAAGGCTTGGAGAGCAAAGACACTTCCAGTTCCTGAGGGACTTGGTACGGTAACTGGTTTTCTTAATAATTGCATTTATACATTCTAAATACTTCTTATCTCTTTATAATATAGGTCTCCAGCACAATCCAATGTATCTTCTCCAAAACCCCTTAGACAGCGTATTCAGGAATCTATGGATGAAAAAAAAATGAAGGTACTGTGTAGAAATTGCTATGTGACTATAGGTGTACTGAAACAATAAGACTAAAATGAAAACAACTACATTTTAGCGTTACATTTTAGTTGAGTATTTGAGAATTTTAACCCATAGATAAAGAAATGTGATTAAACTGTGGTAATTAACCCAACTGCTGTATTGTGAATGGAAATATCTAAAATGTAAGAAGAGAGAGGCTTTAAACTTAAAAGTACTTCCTAATGAAAATCTTGTACTGGAGATATACTGAATTAATCTCTAGCTCTTCATTTAACCATCTATGTGTTTCAGGACTATAGCAATAAGACTGAAGCCGTGTGAAAATAGAGAGAAAATACAGCACAGGCACCTGATTTCAGTTCTGATCATATAGGCATTCCAAAAGCATAATGGTGTCTTTTACATTGCCTGGGGGGGGGGGAGATTATTTTTATTTGAAACATTCTGATTCCCATAATTCCTGATTCCCATAATTCCCATAAAGATTTTCCTATGGCTTTGAGAACAATAAAATAAAGTTGCCAATGTTTGCTATTTTGTAGATGGAATAAAACGTTGAGAGGGCTGGTGTTGTGAGTGGCGCTAATCAAAAGAACAACTTCAATGTTCCTGAAAATTAAAGTCTTCCAGTGTACTGCATTTTACATAGTCTTTTTTCCTCAAAATTGTCAGACTTGAGCATTGGGACTATGGAAAGAAGCAGAGCTTGTATCTTCTACAGCATTTCAACAGAGAGCTAAATAAAAGTGACCTAATATTTTTTACAACTTTAGTTAGTCCTGACAAGAGGTAAACACAAATGTAGTTAGTATATAAGGAGGAAAACAGGTGTTTTAAGCCATTAGAATCAGTTCCAGAACAACACAATGGAAAATTTCTTTCTGCCATTGGACATGAGAATTTTCGTGTATTACATGCTTGAGAAGTAGAAAGTTATTAAAGGGAGTAAAATGACAAGTGCAGTCAGTATTTTCAGCAGTGTTTTAAATATACTCTAACTTGTTTCTGAATGCTTTTTTTTGGAATGGGGGTGGGGTGGATGATGGTATTTTGGATACATACACTAATTATAATGAAACTTAGCTTAAAACTCATAGGCAAATTAGGAAAGGTTGAAGCTCATAACGATCTTCATTATATTAATTTTATGATGAACAGCATATTTAAATGGCAGCTTTAAGTCATCAAATAGCAAAAATATGATTTGCTGTTTGCATAATACATTGAAATAGTTTTCTTATCTAAATAGAGGTTTTATAATTGGATTCATGAACAGCTGCGTTCAGTACCAAATTGCAAAATTATTATTTAAAAGTAATTACCTGTCACATTTGAGACCTTCACTGCAAATCTTACAAGGTTTTTGGCAGAAACTGTCAAAAGTAGGAGTCTTGAGACTGATTAATGTTATGAAACTATTTTAACTTTTTTGGGGAAGTGCTTCTATGCTAATCAAGAATACCAGATTAGCTACTGTAATTTCTGTGCAAATAGTAGTTCTTTCAGAGGTCTCTGAATAATTGAATGAGTTCTACTTCAGGAGCAGGATATGTATGCCAAAGGCTCATCTTGACACTCTTCTGTGCTGTTTTTGTTGTGCCTGACTCTAGTAAGGGCTCTGTGACTCCTATGATCCTTGGTAATACAAGAATCTGACTTTTCCTGTAGGATTCTTGTCCTAGTCTTGCTTCACCATGATTGACAAAGTAACATAAACCTGCAGCAAAATAGAATGAAACTTCCAATGTTTTTAACCAATATTTTTTGATAACTTTCAGTCAAATTCTAGAACTGATTTTGATGCTCATCAGGTATCTAAGCTAATTGAAAATTTAAATGACTTTTTTTTCTTTTGAAAACCAAAATTCAGAGAGAACAAGCAGCAGGTTTTAAGTCTGTACTTCACACTTGGAAACTTTCTTTGGCATCTTGGAAGACTGCAAACTTGCTTATAGTTTTAGCTTTTTGTATACCAAATCTGTGATGGTGGACTCTCTTTCCCCACTTTAGCAATGTGGATGGTAATGTGTGATTAACTTGGTAAAATGAATGGCTGTTTGGGGCTATACAACTTCTATCTTAGAGCAGCAGTATGGCTGTTGAACTGCCTCTAGTAATCACAGTCAGTCTTCTTTGCGGCTTTCTTTCAGTGCGTCCTATTGTACCAGAAAATCAAAGTACAGGATGAAACTGAGGCCAAATATCTCAAGATGTTTTTCCATTAAAAAAAAAACTTAAAATAAAAATCATGCAGTTCACGGTGTAATTTTTCATCAATTACATATCGGCATAGTCTTCTTATTCAAGATATTTGAGTATTTCACATGATGTTTATAATTCTCTTTTTCTGTGTATCAGCCAAACAATACCATCTAAAATACACTATATTCATGTGAAATCTGGAATTATTCTTCTGGCATTCCTGTGTTCACTTTAGGCTTGTTTCTCCTTCCTTCCAGTCAACTAAAGTTGCTGGTCCCAAACAACTAATGACTTGCAACTAAAACTCGGTTAGTTCTCTGTCATTTATCCTTGATCTCCATCTTCTTACATAAAACCCTGCTTTCTTTCTTGAGTCATCTCTAATTTTGTCTTTTTTTGTTTTTCTTTCTACCTATCAATTTCTACAGATGTTCTTTTGCATGTTTCTACTCCTTCCTTTTCTTCCTTTTTCTATGAAGATTTTATAGGGAGGGCCGTGTCTTTCAGTACATTATTTGTGGATTTATACATTTGCAAATAGAATTTAAGCTATCATCTTTGCATGAACAATTCACAGATCTACACCTGACCTAAGCATTTGCTCTGTAAACACTGACCTCTTTTGTGACTTCTGTACCATTCTGCCAATATGCAGCTGTTGATCTTGAGGTGGTAGGTCTATTTTTCCCGATATATTTAACATTGAGTATGGTATCCTACCTGTTACTTTTTTCAGTACATAGTATCTCCAGAATATATTTTTCTCTATCTGTATGTCCACTCAGCTACAACTTATGAAATGTTCATTTTATGTGTGTTGTTCTTGGACTTGATAGCTGCAACTTTGTCCTGTCTCTCTTCATTTGAGATTGCTGTAAAAATAGTTGTCAAAGTGATTAGATACTAGATGCCATTCTTCTATTTGCATCTTAATCTGTCCCTTTACAGTGTAGTGCATATAAACTACTTGTTTTAACCTATGCTAACCCATTGTTTTTTATTGATTTGCAGTTTAGAGATATCTGTCCTTGCTTACAATCAGCCTGCAGTATCAATCTTCATTGTTCATGTCTTAATTTTCAGACTAGCTATTTCAGCTGCCTGTTTTATACTGTTTCTTCTTGCTTGAAGAGATTTGCTATAGGCATTTGCAAAACTCATTATCCTCCTTTGAAACCTTTTTCAGTACCTCTAAATCAACCTCTCTCCAAAACCTAGCAGTAATGTCTCTTGGTAGAAATAAATCTTCTTCTGTCTTTAGTATGCAGCACATGCCACAATAAATTCCTTGTCCATGACTGTAGCTCTCAAGTGCTGGATTAATATTTATCACCTTCTTATACTAAGTATTAGTCTTCATAATTATTAATACAACCATCTTACAGGTTACTTGTAAAATTCGCAGTTGTAAATTTTGTTACGCATAATGCCCTCATTTAAACAATTGACTCAGAATGGGTACTGTTGGTTTTGTTTTTTTTTTTAATAAAACAAAAACAAAATTATGTTTCTTCTCAATGTCCCTGATTATTCTGAGAAGTTTCTTATGCAGTGTGTGTGGTGATAGCATTAGTCCTATGAAATTGTCCTAACAACCTTTTTAGCATGCTGCCTCTGACAGGTGGTTAGAGGTTAGGATATAGTGCAGATTTGTGATGTCTCATTAGAACCTGTCCCATAAAAGTCTCATTTTCCATGACATTTGGCAGGGGAAGAAAAACATGGTAGTGATGATTAGTTTGTATGCTTAGTCCCATCAGATGTATGTATTAAATAAAGAAGTTTAGGAAAATCTAGAAAACAAAAGGAGAAACACTTCCCCCCCAGAAAAAGGGAGGGAGGAGAGGGGAGAAAAAATCATTATGCCTTCTCCTTCGTTAAGAGGAACTGATCTCTTAACTCCTGAAGAATTATGTGGAGGAGTGCAGATTGATAATATTTAGACCTAGGGCGCAACATCATGTGTATGTGTTTAGTATCTAAAAATATGGAGACTGGATAAAGTAAATGAGTAGCTATGAAATGAAATTGGTGCTTAAAAATAAAATTAATCTGTGGGTATTTCCATTGTGCCGAAAAAAAAAAATCCTGGCAACAGTGAAAGACAAAAATATTTTTGTCTTTCAATCCTCATTAAATACTGGAAGAGATGCAGAAAGATCACCTAACTATAATGGCATTTGTTAGGCGGAGAAGCTGTAGCTCTTATCCCTTGAGAAGAAAGAAGTCTGGGGAGCTAGCATGTTGCATTTTTTTAATTCCCTCTAGCAGAAGCAGGTAAGAGTAATAATAAGAAAGTCAATCTTCTGTTGAGAGACAGTTTCAAGTTTGTTATCTACGGTTTAAGTGAAGTGTCTTCTGGTGAATGTTGTTTTGTGGAAGGAGTCTTTAACTCAGAAAGGTCTATAGGAAGTCTATTGAATTGTGTCTCTTGTCAGTTGCCCTTATCACTCCTTTCCGCTTTATAAAAATATAAATTTTATATATATTTATAAATACAGGAGAGGTATTTAATGAAGGTTTGTCTAAACTTATGTCTGGTTCTTCAAAGCATACTTGAATTTATATGAAATTGGTAGATACCCTATTGTTTGACACCTTATGTTGTTTATTTCAGCTGGGTTATGCAAGTCCTTTGGGGGGGGGGGGGGGGGCGGGGAAGAAGGGCTGGTACAATCACTTGTAATCTTGTTTAGGCTAAAGAGCAACTTAAAACAAAAATGTTGCATAAGATTTTTGTCTGTCTTCTGCATCAGAAAAGATTAATTATAATTTTAAGTTGTATGTACTGTTCCTGAACTAATGGAATTGGATGAAACTGAACTTTAGGAGTTAAGAAGGAAGCAACAAAAACTATTAGGATATGAGCATGCAATATATGAGAGAGTAACAGATCTATATATTTTTTTTTTTAATTTAGGATTATTTTGGCCTTTTGATACATTGTTTTAGAAATCATGCTGCTTTGTTAACACATTTACCCTGAAACAGCTGCAAGGACTTTCAGTAGTTTGGCGTGTGTTTTTCTTCATGTAACTGGAGACAACCTTTCCTATATGAGGCACTATTTCCCTCCAATTGGGAACATAACTGTAGTTTTAGTTTTAAAAAGAATTTATGCCTTAAGAACTCTAACAAATCTTGGCATGCTTGAAGTTCATTGTAATTTTACTGTGTATAGAAATCCTTCCAAGAAAAAAGCTTCACAAAGCAAAAAATCCCTTTCTGCCTTTCCCATGTGACTTGTTCATGCCTATATGAAATGACTTAATATCTAGCTTCATGCACTGCTGTTATTTTTCATTGCTTAGTTCTCCAAATGCTGTTACTTGAGAGAATTGTTTTGCCTATTTGTGAGTCCAATACAAATAAACTGTGACTTGGAAAGCTAATAACAGGAAGTTATCAAGAGGTTTCTGTATGCCCACTGTAATTGTGAACAGAAAACTCATGGTATTAGAGAAAACAATCTTTCTCAGGTGGCAGTCTCATCTATTGTAGCAAAAAATATTTATTTATAAATGGAATATGATTATGGGGAACCCTAAGCTGACTTACAGCTTCAATATGTATGGAGTATGCTAAAAATGAGTGTATGGAGGAAGGTGTAGGAGAGGAAAAAAAGGTTATGTCAGCATAAAATCTGAGGTAAGACTTTTTGTTTCAGTTGATAAACAACACTTGTCTAGAAAATACCGTTTTGTTCCTGCAAGATCCCTAAAATACTTTTCTAGTATCCATAGCTGTGAGTTCTGAATACTTCTGAAACACAATAATGATGTGATTTGAGGCTAAATGTTTTCAAAACAGTTGCAGGTTAATTTGGGATAGCAAAACGCTGGTACAATGTCATGCTAAAAGAAACTGATAGTTTCAGTACAATAAAATCTTCCTATTACCTGAGCTATTCAGGACATTTTTCATGCTTGAATAACATGATGCTTTGGTTTGGCAATGATACTTACCTTTTATTCTTTCTTTTGCATTCCCTTCTTTTCTTTTTTCTTAATTTTCTTTCAAGTTGCCTTTTTTTTTTTTCATCTAAAAGGACAAGGGTAAAGAGAAGATATTTTTTCTTTTTATCTCTTTTCCCCATCCAAATAGCACTCTAATTATTTGGCTAGAAAATAAAAAACATGTGTTTGTTGTTACTGATGTAGGTTTTCAAATTCTATTATGCCATTCCAGTGTATAAAAACCAAATCTCGACATTCTTGACTAAATATTGGCAGTACTGTCTGTATGCAGATGCTGAAAGGAGATCTGGAACAGATTATCAACTAAATTTTAGAAATAAATAGAGCATGCACCATTAATATTTCACGTAAAAGTGAATGCTTATATCTTGAAAAACAGAAAAGCTTCTCTAGATATAGAAATCAAAGTGAGAGAATGTCCTGCTTCCTTTACTCATTAGGATTACTAATTGACTGCGTGCACTAAAACAGTCTTAAATTCTGCCATACTTTCTTCCTGAATAGCAGCAGTAACAGTGAACCCCTTTTTCTGAAGTGCAGCAGGATTTCTTCTTTTGTACAGGGATAAAAGCAACATCCCGTTTGCTTGTGAAGAAGAGAGGGGATACTAAGTTTATTGCATGCCATTTGTGTGCAACTACTTGATTAGCAAACTGAGCTCCCAATGTATTTTTGCTCTCCCCAAGCTGTAGGTCATTAGGCTGGTGCCCTCAAAGCAGTGGATTTCAGGGAATTTAATGTAAAAGAACTCTGATGTCTAAGAGCTATTTTAGGTTATTTATAGGCTTCGTTATGTGTGCTTCAATAATGTTTTAAGCTGCTTTTTTTTTTCCTTAAAAACATTCCAGTGAAGCACTACTTTTTGATTTAGCACTGGACTTGCGCTCTTTTGTTCTGCCTTCAGTCCATTAAAAGTTACTTATTGCTGCCTCATTCGATGTAATGCAGTTGTTTTTACTGGAGAATATCCATTCCTAGACTAGTTGGGTAGTTTGACTGCTTTAACAAATTTAATTTTGCACTCTTGATTTATATATATCCTGTAGATTAGTATTAGCATCAGCTAAAACAGTCATATTGGTAAAGCTTTGTCTACTGTTTTGCGAATGATTAAATGGTATGTGATGCAATATGGAGTGAAGTTTGGAGGCCTATTTCAAGCGTCAGTGAAGTTGAAACAGATGGGTTTGTGCAGCGTTTCAGTGTTTGAGCTTGACTTCTGTCCTTTTACTTTTTTTTTTTTTTTTTTTTTAATCCGTGCAAAATGAATTAGTGAAGCACTAGATGGGTGATGAAAAGAAACCCTAATGTCCCAAAAACTAACTGGATTTATTGCCGGTTATAGAAAGGTAACTGCCAGGCTTTCTTGCACAAGTTTCATGGGTTTTGTGCTGTTTGTTATAGCTTCATCAACTCAACACAAATTTTAGCCTATTTTTGTCTTGCAATATGAATGTGTTAGAACTCTGTGCAAATTATTGCGTATTTTTTGGTGTGTCACATTTGCTGAACAATAAATAAAAATTGAGGGAATTTTAAAGATTGACGTGAAGCGTTTGAGAAACATAGCAAATACAGACAAATATTTTGCATTAATGTTACAGTAACTTTAAGCTTAAAGAATATGTAAACCCTTTATATTCTGAATATTGTAATTACACAATTAAATCCACCGTTCTTTCTCAGTCTGTTATCTGGCATTGATAAATTGTAGTTTGGGAGTGATGAACAACTGGGAAAATTTGGTCTCTAACTCTTGAAGGAAATGCTGAGTTTTAAAGTAAAAATATATATGTACAGTCTTATTAAGTCAGAAAGAACTGTTTCTGTCAACTTACGGGATTCCCCCCCCCCCCAAAGTCTAGGTGTGTTCATCTGAACAGCTGTGGTTATCACAAAGAGGTACTTGAATTGGATCTCAGTGATAAAAACCTAGAGTCTGTTAGTTTAGCTTATATGCATGAAAACAGTATTGATGAAAGTGGCATAAATTATGGCTGAATTTTGTGGATGAAGGCCGTTGTGAAAGTGTGTTTCTGGGAAAATATTTTTTCTTTCTGTCTAAAACAGATTTTGTGTTGGAGGAAAAATATTTCTATAAGGGTCAAACCCAAACACTAGGATTTTAACATGCTTTTGCTAAGAAGAAAAGTAGACTTGTATAATACAAACTTTTTAATCAGAAGTGGCTTTAAGCCTCTTAATTGACAAATCATTCCCGTTATTTGTGTATGTAATATTTCTTTTGTGAAAGTGTTTCTTGCTACTTCTTTTTCCTGATGTTTGTATTGTACCACCTGTTAAACTAAAATTAATTTTAATTCACCTGTGCTGTTGTAATAGAATTATTAGCCAAAAATCCTAATATAGTGTAATTATCTCCTCTGTGCTGTACTTTTCAACAGATCTTACATAATCCAGTTGACTTTCAAATGGAAGTGAGGGCAGGATTTCCTTGCAGTCTATAGGATTTGTGACAAATTGGCTAGAAATACAAAGCTTGATTGTGAAGTTTTAAGCTGATATGAAGCTGTAGCAAGTGACAACTGAGGAAGTTTGACCTGTAACAGTAAATTCCATTAAATATGGATATATTGAATATAATGAAAAATTTTATTTCATTTTTTTGTAGTTGAGCCAAATATGTTGATTTGCCTGTGCTATGAGACTAGATTTCCTGCTTCCAAAACTAGGAGGTGGAGATGAGCATGAAGAATCAGATGTGACAGTGTTCTTTAATACTGTAGGTGTATGGGAACTTATATTAGATGGTATGTTTTAACAGATGTGGAGTTAGACATTGGTATTCAACAAAGAAATGTCTTTGTTTTGTGAGTAAATGAGAAATCCATAATTTGCCAAAGAAAGATCAGAAATAATACTTTATATTCCAGTTTTTAGGTATAAGTATATTGAAGTTTAGTTTCTATTATCTGTCATTTTCAGTATTTCTGTTATGCTTTCCCCTGTTTGAATTGGTGGTGAAACTCATCCTATACTTGACATTTCTGAACTCAAAGATGATGACCTGTAGAATTATGATAATTGACTGTAGCTGTGCCAGCTGTTCAAAATGGTAGTCTGCAGTCCATCAAAAGAGGGAGCTAACTAATTTTTAAAGATTCAACCTAGCTTTTTTTGTCAATGTGTAACTTTGTATAAGAGATTAAAGAAGTTTTAAAAATTATTTTAGGACTTTAATAGAATAATTTACTATTAGTATTGAAACCCTTTGCGCTTTGTAAGCTAATACTTCACAAATATATTTGATGTGAGCATACTCATTTTTCTGGTGTTTTTTTTCCTTTTTTTTTTTTTTTACAATCTAAGAGCTTTCATGACAGAAGTATGTGGAAACATTATATTACTGTTCTTGCAGTGCTGTCTTTTACTTTCATAAATAATTAAAGCTAGTACCAAATTGCTATTTGCAGATGAAGCAATCTTCAATAAAATCTCAGTTTGCATCTACATATAAAAATGAGTTCAGTGAAATAAATGGTCAACATTTCCTCAGCATTAGCCAAATTCCAACCTGCACAAATCCTGCACCAAAGCAACAATTAAAAGCTGGATATGTCACAGGTAAGCTGTAGCAGGACTGTATAAGTAAATATGATAGCTAATATTTTAAGTGTTATCAAACAAGGCTTTAGTACAGATCAAGCATAAACGTTTTCAAGAAAAAAGACTGGCATTACTCTGTGTATGCTATGATCCGTTAAATGTCTTTGTATTAAAATTGTAATGCTAACGCTTTGAAAATATAAATCTGCTTGAAAAATATGTATTCCTATCTTGAGGTAAAAATTGACACATTTTACATACATTGTGTAATGATTTGTCTTATTTTACAAAAGTAATATAAGTGAAATTTGTATTTCTGCCATTAAAAAGTGAAAATTTACTTTTATTCCACTATGAATCAAATCATATATATGATTTATTTCTGGGGCCTTTAAGCATCGTTTTCAGTATCTTAAAGTTATAAATCTATTTTCCTAAGTTAGTTGCTGCTGCACGTTTTTGAGTAGTGTAATTTTAAATGGGCAATGCGCTCACGAACACATAGCAAATGTAACTGCAATAAGCAACATAGTTTTGTTTTACTGATAATGCACTAGTTTTGATTTAAAAAGTATGTGACAGCCCTCTAGAAAAAGGATGAATAATCCCAGGTAACTTTTTATTTCTTCACATATGTTTTTGATATTCTTACATGACAGAAGGTATGAATTCATGTCTTGATGTACCAGTGCTTGGAACTATTTCTGAAAATGTTCACCAGACTAGAAGTTATACAGAAATGGGAAAGCTCAGTTGTCAGCCAAGAAACAAGAACTCCAAGAATGAACAGATGGATTTGAATAATGACAAAGTAATCTGTGATAAGGAAAGTGAACCATCTTTGCAAAAAAATACTAAAAGATCTAAGACTTCAAACAGTCCTCAGAAGGAATTGGACAGCAAAATCCCTGGCAAAAGAAAACACAGCAAAACTGCAACCAAGAATAAACTGATTGCTGGTCAGGCAAAATTAACTCACTTTTTTCGACTGTAAGTTTTTGCTTTCGCATACGTGGTGCATTGACTGGCTCAGAAGATGTAAAATTTTGTGAAAATTTGGTGAAATTCACTATTGCTTCCTTTCATACTCAAATAAGTGGGAAGTACCTTGTGTGCAAAATTAAACAAATACTGGTCTAGATTATGCAGAATTTTTTTATTTTTTGATAACAATACATCATTAGTAATTACAACTATGTTCTTTTTTGGTAATGAATTGTTTCCCACTACAATGTGATGGTAATGTATTTTTGGATGCATACATATAGCCACACTGAAACACAGTAACTTCAAATTACATTAAATTCATAATAAAACATTTGATCTTCAAAGGAGGTGCTGTAGATCAGTAGTTTTCAGACTTGCCAACAAGGTCGATAGACTCTTCCCAGCATACACCTGAGCACTATAAGGGTGAAAAAAAAATAGCTGGCAGATTGACTCATGAAAGAACTAGAAATCTTTATGTCCCATGGAAATACTAATTCAATAAATTTAACAAATGCTTCCTCCCTTGTGTGGCAAATCAGAATAGACATGGAGTTTCTAAATGAACCTTTATCAAATTGCTATATAGACGTTGCATTATACTTTACCAGAATGAAATAATTGTTGTGTAAAAATGGAAATATACTTACTGTCAAAATCTCTTCTTCCTATAGGGAATTTAGCTGAATTTTCTTCATCTGCAGTCTCTCTTTCCTGTATCGATTCAATATTTTGAATTTCAGTGTCAGCTGGAAAAGCCATGGTTCTCTTCAGTGCAAGATAAGGTAGTTGTTTTCTACCCAAGTTGATTGACAAAACATGATTTAAGAAATCATGCCTGGAACCTGTGTCCTGTTTTAAGGGAAAACAAGAGTAGCAGTTTATCTTTAAATTGGTTGTGTCCACTTCTTATATTCCAGTTTTTATACTTAGCAGTGCAAGTATTTTATCTTTCAAGTTGATATTTTAAAAGTGATGACCTGCATTGCATCTCTGGCTGAAATGGTTTTATGGTAAAGATCATGATATAATAATGAGTCTTATATTTGGTGAAGTTAAAAACTTGTTGCTGCACATAGAGTCACGCTGAATCGCATAAGTATAGGCTTTTTTCTCCCCATATTTTGGCTACATATAGTTCTTGTAAATACAGTTTTTTTTTCTATTCAGCTGTCCAAGTTACACATTTAAAAATCTTGGAATTAGATACTTACACTTAAAAGTTCATTCTTGATTATAGTATGCTAAACTGATATTTTTGTATATTCATCAGATTATTGCTTTAAATGATTTTTTTAAAGGGCTATAAAGAGAATTTCAATTTTACAATTAACCCAAAACATAAAACTGAAAACTCACCAAAAACTTCATCTTTTTGTCATCCTCTTCATCTAAAACACCTCTGTCTTCAGTCTTATAATGCTTCAGCAACGGTATAGTGCCTCTGCTCACAGTTCTATCTCCATTTCTAAGAGTTTTTTCTAGATTTAATGTGGTTAGCAACATATCTTCATCTGCTTTTTGCAGCGATTTTGAAGCTGAGAGTTGAAAACCTTGAGAAAAAAGAGAAAGACAGAGAATTAGCATGTATGATGAGATACACATTCTTAGTTACTTAACTCTTGCATAGAAGTTAAGCAGTTTCCAAATTTCAAGAAAGCTTTTCCAGTTGTAAATTTATGCTCTCCATCTATGTCCACTTTATATATTGTACAGATTGAATGGAAACTACTTCAATGGATGATGACTTCATTCTTTTAAAAAGACTCTTACTAAGGAATAACCTTTTCTATAATCCTTCTAATCCCATTTGTTGTTTAGAACTACTTAAACATTTCTTTAGCATGGATAATTTGTTTATTTGTATGTTGGAACAGCACAGATTAGTTCCTTTTGATGAATCAGTATAACAAAGTTCACTAAGTGATGTCCGTTTGTATTCTTTATAAAGCCTTACCTCCAGTTAAGGCAATTTAAGAAAAGGAACTAATCTATATAAATCAGCATGGTTGTTGTAAAGGTGTGATCTATCATAGTTTTTGATCAAAACTGATTCACTGAAGAGTTGAAAAGCTTAACATTTAACATCAGCTTAGACTGCTATTATGTTAGAGCTGAAATCATTAACTTGTATTTTGATATCCATTACCTCAGGTTGCATTATTCAGAGCTTATGTCTTGAAATCCTTGTTAATACATAAGTGATTGTATTTGTCTGCATTTTCTTTCTGAAAATGGACCTTTCCCAGATACAAATATAATATAGTCAGATAAGAATGCTTGCTAAGAATGTAGAAAGAAAAGTGAACTTTCTCATTTAAGAAGTCTTTGAAGTCTACCTGTTGCCGTGAGGAAGAAAATGGATGAGTTTCTGCATAATGTTTTTTGGTTGGTGGGTTTAGTGTTTGGTTGATTGTTGTTTGTTGTTTTTTTTCTCACCTTATCTGGAAAGTAAGTAGGGCCAGCTCAAATTTAACTAATTTTTTTATCAGTGGTGCAAAACACCTATTTAGTTGCTGTGTGACTCTTAGCTGGTACCCATCTCTTAAATTTCTGACAGCAGGAAGAGTACAGGTTCCCCCTTGGTTTTCTTCCTCACACTTTGTTTTACTTTTTCTGCTTTTTGTCTATAGTGCCATACACTAGCAACAAGATTGAAATTTTAATTAGCAAAAGTGATTTTTTACAGTAGCTTTTTTTTTTTTGTAATGATTGTCTAATGGTTTCCACTAGTGCATACCACTGATGTGGTGTGAAGGAGAAAGTAAGATTGATATTTAATAGTCTAATCAGGTTAATAACACATCAGTGGCAGTTACAGATAGCAAGTAGACACTTTGATTTTACACCTGTTACAAGAAGTCCAAGGAAGAAATGTGAGTGCTGCTGAAAGGTGTTGCGCAGTCTTAGGGAAATAGGGAAAGAACAATGGCTCCTGCTGAAAACAGGCAATGATACAACACTAATACACAAAGCGAGGATGTTATGTAGAACAACTGACCAGCATTGTTGGAACAGTTGTATTTCTAATCGCTGATGACTGTTAAACTTCCTGGAAAAGCAGACTGCCTTGCCGAAGCAACCCTTCATGGGAAAACATGCCCTGGTGTATGAAGCAGATTTTGACTAAGAGACATTTTGGGTATACCCACTTTTGCCCAAATGAGGAAAATGCATTTAATCCTTTCTGGGCAGACCATCTCTGACAAATAGAGCTATTGCTTCTCATTCCTTTCGTTTCCTTGCTGTAGAGCCTGTACTTGCCTCTGGGCAATTGGAGTGGTTTCTTTTCTTTTACTTTAATTGCTTCACTACAAGGGAGACAAGTCTAAAGTCAATTGTATATGGGTTTATACTTCTCATTCAACCTTCCTTTGTAATTTGTATTCTTCCCTCACATTCAGTATTTGTACAGTCTTGTTAATTAATAAAGCAAAAACCAAATATGCTCTGTAATGGCAGTTTTCATTTAGCTCAGTTGAGGCAAAAAAGGAGCACGTTGGAGCTACCTTTCTTTTTATATGTTGGCATTTGAATTAAGAGTTGGGAAGTAAGTTATCCACTCTGTAATTGTGTATGTGGCAATAGCTTCTGCTTATCAAGCTATAGTACCCACAAGTATTCAGCATGTATTGCATATGGCTTACTTCCAAACGCTTCTCTTTCATTTATTAGAAAGCACAGTTAGAATAAGAATTGACCCGGGTCAATTAGAAAGTCCATCTAAAGTGTCTACTTAGTTGTCTACTGTGTCTATAAGCTGATGTCTACAGAGGGTTATAAGATCAGGGCAAACTTATAGTACTTCCCCCAGTATACTCTAAAGCTTCTTGAACTGGCTGTTAATTTTTAAGGATTGTTGAAGGTCTGAGGTAGTTCTAGTAATAATTAGTAGAAACTCCTAGCTGCTAAGAAATCAATAGCATATGAATGCATAGAATATGAATAGCATTAAATTCAGTGACTTTTCTGCCTGTTTAGAGCAGCAGATAACATCTAGTACACCTGCAGGTTTGTAATGCACTGTGTATGTCTCTTCATAATGCCTTTGTGAATCCCAACAGTCTGTGTGCATCCTTTCCATTTAGTTTTGAAACTTTCAGTGCAAAATTAAGAAGTTTTAATATATCAGTTTCTGTTTTATCATGGTTTATCAAATTGGCTTGTTATCATAAATAATAACACTGCTTACAGAGCAGTAATAATTATTTTGAGAAATTCTTCTTCCACATTGTGTCTTGATACGATAAAATATAAATGTTTAACATCTGAAATCTGATGTGGTATATGTATGAGTAAATAAAATCTAGGTGATAATGTGCCTACAACGTGTCTCATACTCTATTTGAATCCTTCTAGGAATGGGATACAAAACAATTGTAATAATTTTATTTGGTCTTGTAACTACTCCAAGTTGCCATGTACAAGTGTTTGAGCCTAATGCCTAGTATTGACTGAACAATTAAACCCCAATATTTTATTATGTATCTTACATAAAGCCAATTTTTCTTTTTTTACTATTAGCAGAATTGAAAGCTTTGCAGTGCAAGAAAGCATTTAAGCAACTTTAACAAGTAATCGCAATGAATCTTAAAACAGCACAAAAATATGTGGTCAATGTTAATATGCCCAGTAGCATGCTACTTCTGACTTTAAAAGGTGGTGGTTTGTTTTTTGTTTGCTTGTTTTGGTTGTGTTTGTTTCTTTGTTTTATTGGATCTTGTAAATTTCATACAAACAGCTACTTCAGTCTTTATTTCAGTTGGAAGATATTTGTCATTTGAACCAAGAACCGCGTGTACTGAGACTTTGGAAGACTGATTTAAACCAAACCCAAGCTCTTTGCAATATTGTTCATTTGTGTGATCCTCTAGTAGCAGAGAATGAAATATAGGCTGTCTGTCTTAAACCTACACATGTCTTTATGTGCATGAGACATGTATTTCCAGGGCACTTAAAACTTTTGGGTAGTTTTGAGTAACAACATAACATTTTCTTATTTTAATAAATTTTAATAAATGACTGTATTAGACTCTTGTATTAGAAAAAAGAATTTTGTGGCATTGAGATCTATTTTGGCAACAGTTAACAGTGTACATTGTACATTGTGTCTGAGACTTGTATGGATCTATTTTAATTTCTGAGGCATAAATATTTTTTTCCTTGATACTTTTTCTTGTAATCTTGCACGGAGTCAAAAAAAAAAAAAAACAAAAAACAACAGAGTGATGGTACTGATTTGTGCATTTTTATTTTTAGCAATGATACAAATGGAAGTAAAAAAAAAAAATCCCGAAAGCATTTATTTGCAGAACTGCAGTTCCTTCTTAAGCCTTGAATAGGAAACCTAGATTTTCTATGCTGGCTTTAGGCTAGCCAGTTTTGCTCGAAACTAAAACGTAAACAATATCTAGCAAGCACATTTGACAAGAAGCTGGCTGTAGTCAGTCATTAGGAAGTGATGAGGCTATGAGTTGTATCTGAAATCCCACTCCCTTCTTGGGTATTAGCTGTATCGTTTATCCATACATTTGCTCATTTTGGACCCAGAGCCTCAAACTTTCCTTGAATGTGGACGCTTTCTTTCCGTGACCTTAGCACCTCATTATAGAGACTGTCTATCTGAAAAGCCTGATTGGGTTAGTTCCAAACTAATCCCACAGTCAGGTAGAGATTCACTGTGCTGTTAATGGAAGGAACTTCTGATCAGCAGTTCACAGGACATAACAAAGGTAATTAGTGCACTTCATTATTGACTGTTTGAAATGAAATTAAATGTAATTGATATTCTTGCCTATCATTGATTCACTGTTCCTCCCTGCTGAATTGGTAGTCACCTAGAATAAAGAAGTTGAAGTACTCGCAAGGCTGCTCATAACAGGACAGCTCTGGAGTTGTTCAGGAGCACAACTTTGATTTTGAGAACTTAAAGTAATCTTTTGTTTATGTGGCAGGAGAATGTACAAGTGGGGATGAATCCCTGCAAATAAGGTGACTTTCACTGAATTTCTATGCAAGATCCAGGATAGCCATTTCAGTCCTCTGTTGAAATGTGTATGTATTTATAAAACGAAAAGTTGCATTTGTTTGTTGCAAATAAATTTCACAGTTGGAAAAACTTTAAAATATTTTCTGCAGTTTGTTATTTTGAAATTAATTTCAGAATTTCATTTGGCAAAGCTGCATAGAAATACATATTTCTCATGGAATTCTACAGCAGGACACCTGCATGTATAGTTCCTCCTAACAAAAGATAATGATAGGCATCCGTTCTTTCTTAGGATTCTTCCTGCTGAATAAAATGGTCCGTTCTTGTGGGAGTAACTTGCCAATACAATATGCTTTGAATTAATGGAACTGTTCTTTTCATTGTCTGAAAGCAAAAAAAACCCTGACTGTCTCTCCCCTCCCAATATCTAAGATTCTTATTCCAAGATACCTTTCGCAAAACCATCTACATGAACCTCTGTTAATGGATTTCCAATTAATCAGTAAAGTAGAAAGAGGAAGGAAGATTCCGTAAGCGATATTAGCTTCTTAAGAAAAAAGCAGTGGTGATGGTGAACATGTTGTATAAAAGCTAGGCAAAAAAAAAATAACAATTA